TGTTGAACATTTTTTCATATGTTTATTTGCTGCTTTTACTTCTTTGGCTGAGAAATGTCTGTTCATTTCAGCTGCCCATTTTTGAATTGGGTCTTTAAATTTGGGGGGTCTGATTTTTTAAAGTTCTTTGTATATTCTAGATAGTAGTCCTTTGTCTGAGGTACAGCTGCTAAAAATTTTTTCCCATATTATAGGTTGTCTCTTAACTCTGTTGGTGGTTTCTCTTGCAGTGCAGAAGCTTTTTAATATGATGAGATCCCAGTTGTTGATTCTTTCTGCTAGTTTCTGTGCTACTGAGATTTTGTTCATAAAGTCTTTTCCTATGCCAATGTCTTCAAGAGTTCTACCTAACTTATCTTGCGGCAAGTTTAATGTTTCTGTTTTAATATTTTGATCTTAGTTTAGTGCATGGTGATAGATATGGGTCTAGTTTTAATCTTTGGCAGACTGAAATCCAGTTTTTCCAACACCATTTATTAAGGAAGCTATCTTTCCTCCAGTGAGGGTGTTTGGCTCCTTTGTCGAAGATGAGGTGGCTGAGTGTGTCTGGAGTTGTTTCTGGATCTTCTAACCTATTCCACTGATCCTCAGGTCTGTTTCTTTCCCAGTATCATGCCATTTTTACCACAGTAGCTTTGTAGTATAGTTTCAAGTTGGGGATTGTGATACCCCAGCCATGTCTCTGTTGCCTAGAATTGCTTTTGCTATTCTAGGTCTCTTCTGGTTCCAAATGAACTTTTGGATTGCTTTCTCTAGTTCTGTGAAGTATATTGTTGGAATTTCAATCAGCATTGCATTAAATCTATATAGCAGTTTTGGAAGTATGGCCATTTTCACTATATTGGTTCTTCCTACCCAGGAACAAGGGATGTCTTTCCATTTTGTTATATCCTCTTTGATCTCTTTTTTCAGAGTGCTGTAGTTCTCAGTGTAGAGGTCTTTTGCTTCTTTTGTTAGATTGATTCCTAGATATTTCATTTTTTTTGGATGCTTATTGTAAAAAGAATTGTTTCCCTAATTTCTCTCTCAGTGAGTCTGTTATTTGTGTACAAGAAGGCTATTGTTTTTTGAGTGCTGACTTTTCACAAGGATCTTTAAGAGACTTTACATCACTGATGGTGATGATACAAACAACCCACTGCAGCACATGTGCCATAGGTTCGCCACCACTGTTATACCACAGTTCAGAACCATGTAAATCATGGAACTATTCTACCCCAGCAGAAGAAATACTTCAAAGCAAAGGATAAAGTTTGAGGATCATTTAGATTGTAGTGTGCCAGCAGTTTTGTGCCTACTTCATCTGTGTATTCAGTGGTTATGGCATTGTAACTATCACTATAAACTTCTAGAAGACAGAACACAGACTACCTCTTACACAAGTTCACTTGCTAAAATATGATACCCAATGAAGGTCTAATTGGATGTCTTTTATCCTAATAGAAATGCACATCATTTTTTCTGTCCCCTTCTTAAGTCATCCCTCCAACTACCCTTGGGGGTGACCTTACATTGCCATGTGTAAAGAACAAACCACACTCTGTCACTGCTCATTATTTTCAGAGTTTGAGCAGGAAAGTGATCACAAAGATAACATTGTTTATAAAGGAGAAAACAATGGCCCACAGAAGTGACATACAGTATCTGGCCTGAAGTGGATAAACAATTTAAAAACAGAATCAGGATTAGATTGTGCAGACCTGTTTAGTGTATGGTCGTTGGTAGCACTTACCTCTGTTAGTACCAAGAGTGTCATTTTCTACAGAGCGCAGACTGTGTGCTGGGAATCCTTGGTTGGATTCCTTGTTTCATTGATTACTATGTGTATGACCTAGAAAAGTTACTCAATCTTTAGACTCAGTTGTTTTTTTTTTTACTTATTTGTATATCAGGCAGAAGTGTAGAAATAAAATCAACCTTTAGAGTTGTGAGGAATCTTTGAGTTGTCAGAAATCAGTGAGATTGTTAATATAGAGTTTAGCATTATGCCTAGTACCAAACCCTTAATAAATGACTGCATTATTACTATGATTCTCACCATTGCTGCAGCCATTCCTAATTTTATTACTACCCCTACAATCCCGGAGGCCTCAGAAGAAAGGTAGAGCTGTTTCCCAGAGTGTTCTGCACTGCCCAGGGAGTGGCTGGAGCAATGGGAGAATCTGGCAGAACAGGTTTTTTCAAAGGGATGGAAAATAAATCAAGGGCAATAACCTAAACCTGAAAAAAGAATGTACTCCTTTGTGTGCTCTTTACTAGTTGTAAAAGAACCTCCAGAAGGCTGAAATACATCAGAGGTAACATGGATGGATCTTTCTCGTCTGTGATCTTTTTGACCCAAGAGGAGTGACAGTGGCAGTGCTTTGAGTTTCTCCCAAACAGGGTGGTTACATTGTTCTGTGATGATGTTGTCCACACCAGTAAGTAGACAAGATTAGGAGTCAACACATAGAGACAGCAAAGAAGGAAATGTAGGAAGTTTCAGGTCCAGGTACAAAGTGTGCCCTGCCCCTTGCTACAAATTGTTCATCAGTGAATATGGAGTCTCAGGGGACATTAGAACTGTTGGTTGAAAGTAACAGAGAGCCAGAGATTTTTAGCTCAGCGGTGCCAGACCTGTCTTGCATGCGCAAGGTCCTGAGTTCGGTTCCCAGTTCTGCAAAAAAAAAAAAAGAAAGTAGAAAATAACAGAGACACAGTCCCTATTAGCTTAGACAAACAGGAGGACTTATTATAAAGATACCATACTGTAAAATAAAAGAAAGACAGATGCCTACCTAACCTATCAAAATATATGCCTCTTTGCTTCATTCTGCTTTCTTTGGTTCACATAATGGAACAAGAACTTATACATTTTAGAAAACACTATGAAGCCATACAAAGAGAGCTTGATTTCCCTTTTCCAAGTCTACAATTCCTATGAAAGGGATTGATTGGCCCAACTTTGGTAAGATTCCTTTCTCTGATTACTAAGCGTCAGTTGTGGAAGGTTAAGACCTGTTACACCAACATCACACACCCACCATAACTACATACTTCTTGCAAGGGGTAGGGAATGACTCAAACAGGCATTGATCAGCTAGATGAAAAGAAACATATTGTTCACCATCAGCCTTGTGCTGCCTCATGGCCATTCCCAGGTTCCTCATGATTTTACATGGCATCTAAGCTATTTCTATACTCACTGCTCCAGGCTGCTTCCTGCTAGATGGAGCCTAGCCCTCAACGAGCTAATTATATTATAATTGAGTGGAAATACCAGAGGCATTAGAACCACCCAGACCTTAAGTTACAACCTAGGTCTATCATTTATTAGATATATAAGCTTGGGCAATTGACTTCACCTTGCTGAGCCTTGGTTTTCTTACCTACATACTACTACTACTACTACTACTACTACTACTACTACTACTACTAATGCCTATCTAATGGAATAGGCATGCAGATTAAAGAAGATAAAGTAACCATATTTAAAATACTTGACATATAATGTATACTCAGTTATGTTAATTTCTTAATTAGGCTACCTAGAAATCTTCAAGAGGGTGAGGGAGTGGCTCTAAGTGAGAAGAGAAGTGATAGAGTGTCCTATCTGGGAAGTATTTCTGTCTCAGGTATTTAACAATTATCCTGAGCAAATTTTAAACAATTTAAGTGGGTTAGCAGCATTGAAGAGGCCACACTTTGACAGATAAAGTCTCTCACTTTAGAGACTAATCAACAAGGATCAGAGGACCAATGGTGAATGTTTTGACCTTCTTACAAATGTATTGGCATGCTTAAGGTTTCTTTCTTAATAATTAAGGCTTATAAAGTACAATTTATTCACTGAATTAGTGAATAAAGTACTTTAACCTTCATGAGCTTCTTAAACATGTTGCTATTTGGAGACATGCTCCCTTTTTAGAATGTAGTAAGCATACTTGTTCTACAAACTATAATTTATTGAGTTGTTATTACAGCCAATACTGTGCTAAACATTTATGTGCATTATTTAATTTTTTCCTGAATTAAATGCTATTGTTCCCGTTTCCAGATTATGAAATTGAGGCTTCCAAGGTCACCTAGTACTCAGTGACACTTGTAAATTTGGCTTAGTCCCCTCCCAGAGCCTGAGCTCTTAACACCTGTGCTGTACTATCTCTTAAAACCTTGGTAACAGGATTTAGAAACAGGCAACTAAAGAAATGAGTGCCCAGGAAAACCTGTGCTTAGAGTATCTCATTTAATAAATGATAATCTCATAGCTCTTGTGTATCCACACAATTTTCCCTTTTCTAGCATGAAGGGGCCTAGGTCAGTGTTCAGAGACACCTCACATCTCAGGTAAAATAATGAGAACTGGGAACAGTCAGGATGTGGCACAGGGCTGAATGTTAACAGTATGCTTCTGTTATTAGCTCATTATGGGCCTGAATGCAAAGCAGTGGAATTATAGGAAGAAAATTAAATGAACAATAGATACTATCTACTTGGAATTGAGAACGATTTTACTTATTTAGAGGATACTAGTGATGACAGGGTTGAAACTGTGAAAAAAAACCAAGAACTTCATCCAAGTTTTAGATGTTTTAATGTTTCCCAACTTGGTCCAAATTGTGTGTGCTGTAATCATCCATAGCTGCAGGTGGAATATATAAGCCTACTCTGGAAAACAAGTATGACTTAGTGATTAATCTTAGGCATTGTGGTAACTCCTTATGTATTTGAAGGATTTTTCATCCACTGACCTGTGTACCAATCATGAAACCACTGTGATCTCTAACCTAATTGATCTGCTCCTCCAGAAATATTTTATTTTGTTCTATTTGTGCTATTGTGAGTTCCATTACATTCTAGACTGTGCTCCACTTGTAATTTTCATTTTTTACTGCATCCTATGTGTAAATGGAAAAAAACAATTAAATATTGTTTTACTACTACATATTACTGAATTGCTTTTGGTTTATATTATAATTGGATTAATATCTCACATTTTTTGTTCCCTTTTTGTCTTTCAGCTCCAGGGTTCCTTGAAAAGAAAACAGGTAGTTAACCTATCTCCTGCCAATAGCAAGAGGCCCAATGGCTTTGTTGACAACTCATTCCTTGACATCAAAAGAATCCGTGTTGGGGAGAACCTCTCTACAGCACAAGGTGGCCTCCAAGTAAATAATGGACAAAGTCAGATTATGTCAGGAGCTTTGCCTATGAGCCAGGCACCCCTGAGAAAGACTAACACTCTGCCACCCCATGCACATTCTCCTGGCAGTGGCATGTTTAACATGGGCTTAAAGGAAGTAAAGAAAGAACCAGGAGAGACTCTATCTTGTAGTAAGCACATGGATGGCCAAATGACCCAAGAGAATATTTTTAGTAATAGGTATGGAGATGACCCTGGAGAGCAACTAATGGATCCCGAGCTGCAGGAACTGTTCAATGAACTGACCAACATATCTGTGCCTCCCATGAGTGACCTTGAGCTGGAGAACATGATCAATGCCACCATAAAGCAGGATGACCCATTTAACATTGACTTAGGTCAACAAAGCCAGAGGAGCACGCCCAGGCCCTCTTTGCCCATGGAGAAGATAGTGATCAAAAGTGAATATTCACCTGGCCTGATTCAGGGCCCCTCAGGCTCTCCTCAGTTGAGGCCCCCATCAGCTGGTCCTCCATTTTCCATGGCCAACTCTGCCCTCTCCACTTCATCACCAATCCCAACTGTCCCCCAGAACCAGGCTCAGCCTCAAACAGCATCAGGAGCAAACCGGGCTCTGACAAGCTGGCAAGAAGTATCCCATGCCCAGCAGCTCAAACAGATAGCTGCCAATCGTCAACAGCATGCCCGGTTGCAGCAGCACCAGCAGCAGCACCAACCTGTAAACTGGCCATCTTTGCCTTCTCCTGCTGGACCACCACCAGGTCCATTTGGGCAGGAGAAAATCCCCAGTCCTTCTTTTGGTCAGCAGCCATTCAGCCCACAGGGTTCCCCCATGCCTGGGGTAGCAGGCAGCAGTAACCAGTCAAAAGTAATGGCTAACTACATATACAAGGCCAGCCCCTCAGCCCAGAGTGGGCACCTAGATGTGCTCATGCAGCAAAAGCCTCAGGATCTCAGTCGAAGTTTTATTAACAACTCACATCCAGCTCTGGAACCCCGTCATAACAACACCAAGCCTTTGTTCCATTTTAACTCAGATCAAGCAAACCACCAGTTGCCTTCTGCTTTACCTTCCCAGAGTAAGCCTTCTCTCCTGCACTACACTCAACAGCAGCAGCATCAGCAGCAACAGCAGCAGCAGCAACAACAACCACAGCAACAGCAGCAGCAACAGCAGCAGCAACAGCAGCAGCAGCAACAGCAGCAGCAGCAACAACAGCAGCAGCAGCAACAACAGCAGCAGCAGCAGCAGCAGCAACAGCAACAACCACCCTCGCAGCCCACCCAACCTTTACCAACCCAGCCTTTGCTAAGGTCACCCTTGCCTCTTCAACAAAAGATCCTGCTTCAGAAAATACAGAATCAGTCTATCACAGGCCTGGGATATCAAGTCTCCCAACAACACAGACAGGTAAGAGCTACCCAACTCCAAACCCAGAGTTCGCAGAGACCATTTAACTTGGCTATATGCTTTGGTTACCATTGCCCTTGTTTTGGGACATAAGTGAGACCAAGAGCAGTAGTGGTCTTGATGCACTCATGCGAAGACCTCATAAAATCTGGTTCTCTTGGAGTGTCTAAAGGCCAGGGCTCATATTTTCTTGTAGAGCATTATTGTCATTGGGATGTTTAGTGATCAAAAGCTTCATTATTAAGCAAAACAAAAGAAAAATATTGTATCATAATGCATCCCATTAGCGATATATCCAGTTGTCAGTCAGATTCTGATATCCTTGATGTTCATTTGTCTAACCAGTAAATCAGTCATTAAGTTAACATGCATTTCTTGAGTTCCCACCATGTGTGGGACATTGTGATTAATACTAGGTGTTACAATAAGGCCAGAGGTGATATTGAGAGTATTAAATGACTGTCCTATACATGCGCCAACCAACTGTAATGTCTCAATACCCAACCTATTGTCGTAGATTCTGCCATGATTCCATGTGGAACATGTGGGCTGAATATCAGCCCTAAGTACATATTATCCCCATATCTCCCAGCCTGAAGAGGAGTACAGGGTTTCATAACTATTATTTTATTTTATTTTATTTTTATTTTTTTGGTACCAGGGATTGAACTCGGGTCCTTGCGCTTGCGAAGCAGGCAGCAGAACCACTGAGCTAAATCCCAGGCCCACTCTCATTTTATCTTTTAAGCAAAATATTTATTGGTACATTTTAGATATACATAAGGATAGCATTCATTATAGGGAATTTGTACCTGTAAATGATATATCTTGCTTCTTTTTTCCCACACCCCCTTCAATCCCTCTTCCCTTCCTTATGTACAAAAGTTTTGTTTCCATTTTTCCCTTCTATTTTCTCTCTCTCTCTCTCTCTCTCTCTCTCTCTCTCTCTCTCTCTGGTACTGGGGATTGAACTCAGGTCCTTGCGCTTGTGCAGCAGGTGGTGAAACCACTGAACTAAATCTCCGGCCCTTGTCTCTCTTTTTTTTTTTGTCCAAGAAGGGTCATAACTATCATTTTAATACTAGGTAGAAAGAGTAACAACATGAGAGCAGAGATTAGGTAGCTTCCCCAGCAAGGGGAAATCAGAAAAGGCTTCTGGAAACAATAATGTGTGAGTAAGTGTTAAACCATTAGATCAACATGACTGCAGAGAAAGTAATCTATGGTTACCTTATGTCCTTTGCTTAAGATAAACTAGAGCTTTATTCCACCCAAATATAAGGAAAATATAAAGAGATAACTACATGCTTTCAGAGCACATACAAGCAAGTACGCCCTGATCCAGGGAACTTGAAGGAGAAACCTCCTCCTGGAAGGAATGGAGGAAAGAAGGTAAGAAGGGAGGGAGGGTGGGGAGAAGAAAGAAAGTTTGAATATTGCTTTATACATGTTACTTGAAAAAGCTATATTATCTGTCCATGCTTAAAAATGGCATAGTATGTATCAAAACAATACATTAGGACAGTATGATGGTGCAGAGCCTAAATCCAATAGTATTCCTATAATAGTTTTCATGGCAACTGCCCAGAAAAAGTAACATGAACACCACAGACTGTGGGTCCAAACTAACCTTTGTCCAAAATGTGGGCTAAGAAAACACTAGATACAAGGAGGATTCAAGGTGTGTACCAAGTAAAGCCTTCAGCGCGTACTCACTTAAAATTGTATGTCTGCATATGCAAGTTTTAATTGTACACTATGGAGAATAGACTTGATGTAGACTAATATTTTATGCTATGTACATATATATGACATAATCCTTTTATAATTATTCTGTAAAACAGGCAATTTGGGGATAATTTAAAATCAAATTGTGAAACTACTTTCTAATGATATACATAGGCATTTCGATTTGTGTAGGTTTAGATGCTTCCTCTTACTCTCCTAGCTGTGCAGCCTGAGCTCTGAACCTCTCTCAGCCTGTTTCCTCACCAGTGAGGGTGGCAGTAATATCTGCTGGGGTTTTGCTGAGCATAAAATGAAATAATTCCCAATACAAAGTCTAGAATAAGATGATTATTATTGTGATTATCATGTAAAGAGCAATATATTAAAATATTTTTAAATAACCACTATTCTTATGTGGGAGAGGAATTGGTTTAACATAAGCAATATTTGTGAAATAAATTCTAATATAAATAATATGGGGGAAATAAGAGAGAACTGTCCCTAATTCTTTCATTGTGCAGCAGTGTGATAAGTATGTCACAATTTATCCTCCCTGGCTCAGACTACTGACCATAAAAATGGATATTATAATGGTTATCAATAAGTCAGAATCTTTTGAGTAGTTACTCTATGTCTGGCATGCATTCTCCCTTACTTGTGGTATTTCATTTCACCCATGTGAGGGAAGTACCATTATTCCCATTGTACAGGTAAGAGAAGTGAGACACAGGATCAATAACTTTTCCAATGTCACACAGGTAATGAATAGCAGAGCCAGAATACAGATAGTCTACTTTACAGCCTGCTTTCAGGCACTATTATATAGCGATTATAAGTAGGATTTGTTGGGAAATGAATGACTATTGTAGATTTTTGTGAGGACTCTCAAAACTTGTTTCTTCTAATATTGAACCCTATTAACATAAACTGTATAGAAAATTAAGACCTTCGAGGGTTAAAAAAAATCTTAATTCTTTATTCTTCAGAGCTGTTAAAGAAAGTAATTTTTTAAAGAAATGTATATGATATTTGCCTTTCTTGATGTTACATATTATGGAGCTAACAAAAATACACAATTCACAACAGAAAATATATACCTTTGGTGTCCCATCAACTCTTTTGAGAGCCTCCCTGCCACATCCAGGAGCCTCAGACCTGTTTCTTGACATACTATTGGTATCAGCAATGAATATACACTTGTCCTCTTAGTCTCCTCCCAAGCTTCCAGGATCCAAGCACAGCAATTTGTGCTAATGGCCAAATCAACATCAACTCTCAATGCTTGGGATCATTTTTTATGTTTCCGAGCACATATCATGCATATGATGCCAGGAAAATTTTCATCTCCTTAAGAAAGTCTTTAGAAGTAGTAGAAGTGGTATTAGGATTTCAAGTTAAAGGCTTCTTCTACATAACCTTGGCAGTGGCCACTAATTTACCCAACTTTATGAAATTAACAACATTGTCCCTCCCAGCCCAATGGTTCTCTAGTGTCTGACTCTAAAATCCTGTGTCTGAGATTTATGCAAATATACCCGAACTCTATACTAAAGAAAGTGTTGCCTTCTTGTAAGAAATCATGTTAGAGGGGGTATACATTCTAATAATGGTGCTATTGTTCGGTACAGAATTTTGTTTGGAGCTTAGGTTATCTCGAGAGCCACAGAACATTTGGTAGATCATTGCCAAAACAATAATATTCATCCTGTCAGGGTGATTTTTAAAAACAACCAAACTGGGTAATGTGGCTTTGGGTCACAACCAAGGAATAACTATGATATGACAAGGCTGCATTTCGAGGATGGTGTATGAACTTTCTCTGAAGGAAATAAAAAAACAAATGAGTTGCTTCTCAAGATGATAGTGTTGAGAAGCAATTTGCATCTGATGTACATATATCTAAAATTTTCTGGTTCTTATTGTCTCATTCAGCATATTGTTAACTTTTCTAAAGTTAGAGTAGTTTTAACGCTGCAATCTATACTATACGGTAAAAATGTATATTCTCATAGCAGAACAGGTAAATATCTGTTGCTCATGACTAAAAGCATGAGTGAGAGAAGGAATTGGGGATTAGAAAACTCTTAAATTTATCAAACAGTGTCTTAAATAAAAATACCAGTCCAGTATTTTTTTCTGTTTCTCATACTCATTTTGTGGCAAACATAGGAAGATTTACTATGGGATTTGCTAATTTGAGCCCTTTAGCCTTGGAAATGGTAGAAATCTTGGCTCCCTGCTACAAAATGGTAGATGGAACTTGTTAATCAGTTACTTACAGTTTACTCAGTAGATGTGCAAAGGTGAAATTCTCTTTCAGAGATCTGAACCCAGACAGATCCACATGCTCAGGCAGAAGCTGAATTTGGGGGATTCTTGTGCCCCTTTCCCTTTCCTATGTACTCACTTCTGTTCCCTTTGATGGGAATGATGCCTGAGGGATGGATGTAGCATAATCAAATTGGTGGATATGTCTTTATTGTTTCATGCTTTGACTAGGGGAACAAATGGTACTTGATGTTTCATAAAATGTCCACAGTAGACTCTTGTCTCGCTAATATTTTGGAGCTTAATAAATAGAAACCTTCTGGCTATGATTTTCTTCTCTTCCTGACTTGAGAGCTATGAAAGAGGACAAGAGAGGGATACAACAGATGCATTTCTGATTCATTTTCAAGTCACTAAACACTTATTAAAGTGTGAGAGAATTATTGGCTGACCAGAGCTCATGAGGGTTCAATCCAAAAGTTCTTACCTCTTGAACCAAAATGTGATCTGTTTCAGAGCTATATAATCAGTCACTTAAAAGCATAAAATTTTTCTAACATTAGATCCGTGCAACTCAAGTGGATTCTATATTTAGTTTAGAATTCTCCCATGTCTAAAACTTCTGGGAGGGAAAGCAGACAGAGAATGAATGGTTTGTTATGACTGAAACATAAATTTGTACATTTCCTCCTTAGTTTAAAGCCAAGCTCCTCAATCATATATTAAGAACCTCCCTCCCCTCTTTCTCTACCTAGGCAAGCTTATCTTCACTACTCTATATCAACCCTTTGTATAAATTAAGAAAGTATCCTAATGTCCTCTTCCTTATTTCTTTAAGTCAGCTTTACGTATATCTGATTTTAAAGATCAACACTCAGAAAATTGTTTTTCAAGTGGCCCAAGTGGTAGAGGAGGAATCACTTTTAGCTCACATACACTGGCAGTACTTCTAAATCTTTATTATTACCCAAGTGAAAGTGCCAGAAAGAGAAACGTTTTTAATG